AGCCCGCGCGGAGCCCGCCTCCTGCCCCCGCGTGGAACTTTGTCCCGCCTGTGGGTTCCAGATCGGAGACTTGGGCTGCTGATCAATACAGCTCCCCACATGTGTGATCTAATCAAGCATTTTCTCCTCTCTCCAAGGCGGCAGCGTTTTATGGCATCTCCTCTCTGCCAGGCTCACCCGGCTTCTCTGGGTTATAAACTTTTGATGCCAGACCTCTGCAGAACCTGCCCAACCGCATTGTAAAGTAGCATCTCGGAGACAGAGAGGCAGAGGCAGAGCTATCCGTGACCTTCATCCCGCACCTTCCTTCCTGCTCTCCCTTCCAGGCTGCCTCCCGCCTCCCCGGGGAGCGTCAAGAAAGCGCTTTTTAGATGCAGGAGGGGCCTCTGGTTCTGCCAGGCTGGAGAGCTGAGGCAGAAGAACCACTAGACTCCGGAGAGCCTGGACTCGCTTCTCCTCCCTCCGCCCGCCCGGCTCGCTCATCCCTGCCTCTCCCCACGCCGCTGCCTGAGCCCCGCTGGCGTGTGGGGCGGGGCACCAGGACCCTGCTGCGGCCGGCGTTCGGGGAAGTTGTGACTGTCGAGGATGGGGGTCTGTGGGTACCTGTTCCTGCCCTGGAAGTGCCTCGTGGTCGTGTCTCTCAGGCTGCTGTTCCTTGTACCCACAGGAGTGCCCGTGCGCAGCGGAGATGCCACCTTCCCCAAAGCTATGGACAACGTGACGGTCCGGCAGGGGGAGAGCGCCACCCTCAGGTAGGGAGCTGCACTTCTTCTGTGACTTGACATTGACTTGAAAGGGGGCCGGGGAGAGAGGGCTAGGGGTGTGAGTGTGTGCGATGGAGCTCAGATGCAGGATCTTAGATGTGAACACGGAGGTCCATGCTTGGGACTCCATCGTGGGTAGGAGCCTGTGACGTGGCTAGATTCGCTTTTGCCTTGGTGCCAAGGTGAGGATTGAGAGCCCTGCGATGGGCACCCTGGGGGGTAGTCTAAGAAGGCTGGGTGCCTGGTGGCTGTCTCACCTGCCAGCAGGTGTGTGATGAGGCAGGACATGCTCAGGATGGGCTGATGGCCCCTCTCAGAGAGACACCTAACATCTCAGGCTCTGGAATTGCTCGTGCTGGGCCATGGCCCCTTGGGAGGCCGCTCAAGACTCAGCCATCCATGTCAGCCCTGCGTGGTGAGCGGTGCGCCTGGGCCCCAATTATAAATGACGAGGGCAGTTTTATCTTTGCCGGCTCAGGACCAGGAGAGGAAACATGGTAGCTTTTATGCAAGGGCATCACTCCTGTGCAAAACGCACCATCGGAACGCTTTTTGTTTTACCTTAATGAGTTACAGAGAATCACTTGCATGCCCCAGGCAGAGGGATGGAGATGCTCGGAATATGAACCTTTGGGGACTGGACCTGCTGCGGCAGAGACTTTAATAAAAACGCAGCCACAACTTTCCACCAGCTCAGCAGATATCATCTTTTATCCCTTTAATGAGGCAGCCCTGGTCCTGGGAGACAGATTCAGGGACGTCCCAGCTTAACTCGGGCTCGCAGTGTACACAGGGTGAATGTGTTTGCCCTGCCTAGGACTTTGATGGTTCGAGTGAGACATAAAACATCCTGTCCGGGACTCTGCAGCCAAAGGCCTGGCTTCTCCGAGGAACGGAGGAGGGGGGGGGGGTCCTTTCTGTTCTTCCCTTGGTTCCCCTGGTTGAACTCTCACTACATCTGGACAAGCCTCTTCCAAGGGAAGGAACGAAGGCCTTTTGGAGTGACAGCTATTTTTTCCCCCCCTGAGCCCAAGGACCAATGTTGGATTCTTGTCACTTTGGGTTTTTCTCAGCTACATTTTCTTTTGAGTTGGAGAATAGGTCCAGGAACCCTTGTTGCTGGAGTTCAGGGGCCTCCTGTTGAGAGAGAAAAGAGAAGGCTGGAGCCAGACCTCCTGGTCACTGGGCATCCTTTAGTCTGTCTCAGAGTAGAGTGCCATGTGCCTACTTCATTGCCCCCCACAAAAGCGTTGGGAGTCCCCTCCCTGAGAGATGGCGTTCAGGGTGCTTATTTGCAGTGAGCTCAAAGATAGGAGTAGTTCCTGGGCTCGGAGCAGCACCAGTGTACGCACCTTCACCAAGGGAATGCTGGTAACTGTTACCAGGTGCGGAGGGGTGTAGACGCTGCCACACATCTCTTCTTATCTTCTCATCTACTACTGGGGGCAAAGAGGGCCAGTATTCCCCGGGCCTCAGTGCTGACTTCCAAAATCCTCTGCCCTCTTGCTTTCCCTAAAAGTTACACTTGAACTTTCTGCTGGCCAGGATGCAATAAGACTTCTCCACCAGCAGAGGGCCAGCTTCCGTCTATCTTTATTTATTTTCTTTTATTTTATTAGCTACTGGCCTGTTTTCATGATCTTCAATTCTGATGTTTAGCAGCTGGGCTTGGTAATGGGAATGGGAGTGAATAAAAGGAAGAGCTGAATAGTTGTTTCGTGTGCTTTGTTTAGAGGGGAAAAAACAAAAAAAACCTTCCATGCTCAAGTATAACTGCTGTTACCTGATTGCATGCTTTGTTTTTTAAAAAGTGAGCACATGTCTTCTGTTGGTTTTGCTTCTCCTCTCTGTATAATTTGCCCTGAGGTGCACAAATCCAGCACATTGTCCACATTTTAATCACTTTCTATCCATTTACTTTTCCTTTTTACCTCGGGTTCTTTTATTGCCTTCTTCCTTCGTTTTTATGAGATGCCTCTATTTTAAAAGTTTGCTTTTTTTCCCCCCAAAGGCAACATAATAATGAATCATAATTTACTTTCTTCTTTTTTGCCTTCATCATTTTAATTTTTATCATCCCCTGATATCTTAAGTTTTGATTTCACTACTAGCACAATGCTTCTTAAAGAAACATAAATATCTCCTGCAGATTTCTGGGGGTCTCCACTTTTCTCCTTTTGTTCTCTCTGCTCCGCTGGTTTGCTGGTGAGTAGCTGTGTTTCTATCTCAAAGAAGCACTTATTTGTCAAAACTCAGAGGGAGAGTCCCTGCTCCCAGTCTCTGGAAGTCCATGGCTTCAACTCCAGATAAAGGTCATGCTTTATTTGGTATTGGGCAGTGCTTTTAAAGCAACGTCATTCTTGAGTATGGCCACTCTCTAGTCTCCTTACAGATGTTCCACGGGGAGGCAAGTGTTTGGGAATTTAGTGTTCCCAATGCATCAGACGCTCAGAATGTATTGAAAACACATTGAATGATTCCCACCCCATCAGCCACAGCAAGTCTTTTCAAATGTGGCTGCGGTGGATCAAAGAATCCCAAGTCTGTGTCTCTGTCTTGAACAGTCACATTGGAAGCCAAAGACAGATTAGTACAAGCAAAGCGATGGAGGGAGCTGGGTCTTTCATTGGATTTCCCGGTGAGCAATTGCCTGGCTTAGAGAAGGATGATTTTCTTCCTTGGAGGTATCGGTTTTCATGCGATAGGTCTTTGATTACATTGAAGGATGTTAGGACGTGTTGTGGCCAAGACGACACCGAAGTTCTGCACGTGGGTGAAACTCATTTGCTATAAGTGAGGCAATATTATCTTTCCCATAATTACTTCAAAGGGCTACTTGGGAAGTAGAAATAATTATTTGAATATTGAGTTAGCTTGCCTCCTTGGAAGAGAAAGTGTATGGAAATGGTGGTATTCACTGTGTCTGAGTTATGGCTCCTATGAATCCGATTTGAATTCATTATTACAAATGGGCCCTTTTGGCCGGAATCATTTCATTACAATTATCTGCTGTTGGATTTAAATGGGCTGTGCCTTCCCATGAGATTGGCTATGACGAGTCTGTGGGGTCCTGTGTCTGAATCAGCGCCACGTCGAGAAGGAGCCCGAATGCTCAGGGTGGCCCGCCAGTGTCTACCTCAGTTGCACAGATGATGGTCAGATGTGCCTTCCTCGTGGGCCTTGGTCTCCTCTCATGGGCTTTCGTTCCTCCCTGGGATCACATCATGAACATTTTGAGGGGTGTGAGGTAGGACAGAGATAGCAGTTGTTGCTGTAACTGTTCCAATAAATGGAACACACTGTTGTTGTTGTTTTAATTTTTCATATGGTGGGATAATCAGTTTTGCCGATCCAGCTTTGCTGATCTGGGATTATGCTTTCATATCTCTAGAATGCCCCCGAATTTTCATTAGGAGCCGGAGCTAATCCCTTCAGAACCAAGTATCTGAGGGTTACCTACCGCCGGGGACTAAGCTGAGCAGCAGGATCTTGCCGGTGCAGTGGGACAGTTGAGCTTTCTGTGCTCGGCCTGCGTGTTTCTCTGTATGTTGCACTCCCCAGCAGCGGCTTCTGTTTTGGGATAAATTCGAAAATTCAGACTAGACAACAGGTTATTCAAAAGCAGAGCGGGACTTTGCCTTTTAGTGTTTAAGTTGCCGAAGTCCAGTGAGGACTTGGGGAAGTGCAAAGGTTTTGCTCTTGGCGCCGCTGGCCTGGGTGCACATGTCGCTGCCGGGCTCCCTGCCAATGGAATGAAAGCTCTGGAGTGGGCACCGGTGCGGGCATCTAACAACTCCTTCCTGTGTGTTTCATGTGGAGCCAGAGTCGAGACCCACTGCCTTAAAGCCCTTTCCTGCCCCAGAGCACCTGAGCAAGGTGGTCTCCAGGGGACCTACCCCCACATACGTGTCTCCTCCGTGCCGGTATGTACCTACCATTCACGGGCTGCCTTGGCATTCTAGGAAGGGCACGGGGCTCCGGGGCCTGAACACCTGGGTTTGATTCTTATTCTACCGCTAAATAACCGCATGGTTTTGAGTGCTTCGGTTCAATCGCAAACATGTGGGAACAATATCTTCCCAGACTGTGACATCAGGTGAGATGAAGTATATGGCAGTTTTCTGTGAGCGATAAGGCATGATATAGGTGCAAGATGTCACCGTGCTCCGTGGCACGCCTCAGTCACGACCTGTGGCATTTCATCTGCTCTGCCTTTTGCTCCTTCTAACGCCCCTACTTCCTCCGACCCCCACGCACGTACACATACGTACCTTTAAAATGTACCTGTCTCTTCCCCATTTCACTCAGCATCCTGCTTCCTGTCCGTGGTCAAGAATTACCCTATTACCCCCATCTGAATTCCAGTAACTCTTGCTGCAGATCTCGCTTCCAACAGACGCACCCTGTGGACCTGCCACTCATGTGTGTCTATGGTTAGATGGTGAGGTCCTGGTCTTAGGAACCATGTCTTATGTGTGGAGTACAGACACCGTGGTGGCTACTAAGGATTAAGATAATCCGTTGAATGTGGCTAAGATAATCGACTCAGTCTCTTCTAATATATGACTGCCTCTGCAGCAATGAAGTGCTCACATATGAAGGGTGTCATGCTCTTCAAAATAAGATGCTGGGACATTCAAGCACAGTGGTTGGTTCGAGATCTTGGAGGCCTGAGGGATTTTTGGATTCTACTTAAATCATTTGTCAGGGGGGCCCGTTGACTCCCACATTGGTTGCAATCAGCCCAGAAACCATGCAAAAGGCTTCGCTATCCCCCAGGGCAAGGCACGGAGCAGGGCAGCGGAGTTGAGAGGAACCTTGTTGGCAGCAGTAGAGTCAGATATTTGGAAGTGAGGCTGTCAAATATTGGGAGGATTGCCTTGCTCCTGATGCGAGAAGATACACAAGGCAAGGAGGCAGCGGGGCAGACCGGCTGCCCAGCCTCGCCACCTGGTGTGTCAGGGTTGGGCATGGCTGAGGATCCAGGG